CGCCGCCGCCGTTTCCGTCTCCGCGAACACCGCCGGCAAGAAGACCAGGAGTTTGCTCAATCTGAATCACACTTCGGCCGCCCCGCGACCCAGACCGGAGCACGCCCTCCACGTACCCCAGTCGCCTGTCGCCGCTTCGCACAGGAGCCCCCGCGACGACGACGCCGCCTCCACCATCAACCAACGGCCACACAAATCCATGGAGTTCCTTCTCGACAAGGAGAACCTGCATTTCGTCAAGGTAAGTAGCTGCCTCTCCGTTCCTCTTTCCCTTGCTGTCGTAGTTTGTCAACCAGTACTCCTGATTGGAACCGCTGTGCTGGTTGCGAGTCACACAGCGTCTTCGTGTCGCCTTCGTGTCGCCTTCGTGACACTCGATCGCTGGATCGTCGTTTATTAGGATTAGAGTGTAGAGACGGAAACGCGTTGGACGATTTAAGTTAGACGTGGGTCGATCTTGGGTAGCAAGAGACTGTTTGCGATAAATACGTTAAAGACGAAGGATGGGCACGCCAGGGTCGGCCTAATTAATAGAATGTTCTGTTACAAGGACGAGCTTGGTGCTAATTGTCCTCCGAGAGGGTTGCATCGGTAGCATATGGTAACATCGATCGTACCTTCCGTTTGTAGGTATGTTATTAGATACGTACGAATACTTTTCAGATATTTCAAGGATCGTTTGTCGTCGTTTCTTAAACGTTTAGAGTTAGTAAGGATTCATCGACGACGAGTTTGTCGGGTACAAGTACTTGTTTGTGCCAATGTGTACACTATTCATCGGAGGTTATTGAGTCAAGGGCGTGAATTATTATTATACTTTCGTTAGCTCGTTAATTTAATTAATAACAAGCAATATGTTATTAACGATAGTACGAGGTGCTCCTGTGTATCATTATCAGTAACTAATCTTGATAAGCGGTTAAACGTGATGTAACGTAAGTAATATCGCACGTGATATCGTATCGCGGAAAACGTGATAGCCACCTTAACAAATACAGCTATCTGTTTTATTGCAAACTAATGCGACTATCTATCAGAATTTAATTCCGAAAAGAATTACGCGATACACGATGTGGTCTGATGCAGAGTGTAGATTAAATGGTAAAGGCCTCGCGGAAAGTCGAGCGAGGTCTTCATCGCGATCGCTGCACGATCGAACGTGTTTCTTTTCAGGTTTCTTTCGGCTTCTTTGCGCGTGTTTCTAACTATAACACTCACTTCGATCCGGCGGTTATTAAATCCGCTAGTTGATGTTCTCTCGTGATGTTCATTAGCATTAAGTGAACACCTACTAGGGGAAATTAGTTAGTATTACACGATTATGCCTTTTAATCTGATTATGCCAACATATTATCCCACGGAGTTAGGTGTGTTCTTAATTTCGTTTGGTCGAATTTCGTGTTAGCTTGAATCGAATGGTTTAGAAAATTTGCTTTGAAGGAATTTTGAAAATATAAAGTATCGAGTAGATTATGCAAACGCATCCTTAGTCGGATATTAGATATATTAGATTTTCTCTCTCATATTCCTTTCGAAGCGTATCGATGGTTTTTGATAGCTTACTTTGAGATTGGTTGGAATATCGTAACGCTATTGTAAGTTTGAACGTATTTCAGAGTGGTACACTTTTGCAGTGTGGTGTAAAGTGCGGGCTTCACCTTTGACATTTCTTCGATTAAGTGGTCTGAAGCGCCACCGATTTCTGTATCAAGCCTACAGTTCAAAACAAGCGATACAATACAATTCTCGATATCTGTGAGAAACGTTCATCCTATAGTCCAGTAACATATGACTTTGAAATTGAATGGATTTTAACTTTCGAAGTGAAACGTTTTGAATTCTCAGTGATATTTATGAATAATAATTGTATACTTGTCTATGGAATTTAAAAATGTTGGCTCGATTGTCTTAAAAATTCAAATGTTTCTTGAAGAACTTGATCTATTGAATTGGTCTCTTTTTCTGCTTCATTAAGGTTTCATTATTAATTTTATAAGAATATTGACAATGAGGAACTAAAATTTAATAAATTATTACGACACGCGAATCTAAATTTTCAAATCGTTCTGTTTTCTTTTTGCAGTTATTGTGTTTTTGCAGCTACATCATACCAACTTGCATTAGTTTGTATTTTAAACTCAACAGAATTGGAAAACATGTCGCGAAATATAACTATTTATCCATGTTTTAATCATTCGTAATATCTGGCATTCGATATCGAAGAAACGATCGTTCAGCGATGACGAAAAGCGGTTTAGCCGTTCGAACGAACTTTTCGTTCGATCGAACAATTCAGTGAAGCAATCGTATTGGCTTGATTCGTAAGTATGTAATTAAAAATGAAAGATGCGGTAGTGCATAAGCTATACGTGATATATAAAAATATATAAAATTTGATTTATGGTTAAAATAATGTGGCGCTGTAGATAGGAGATATAGAGAAGAGTCGTTAAGGGAAAGAGGAATTTCAGCTGTGTTTTGTAGACTTAACAAATTATTTTGTAGGGTTTTATCATGCACTTGTTTACAACGACTGTCTAAATTTATTTTTGACCATTTGCTATCAGCGCATTGGCACATTTGAACGCTTGAACCCGAAAGATGCAGCCAGCAAGGGAAAGTAATTTATTTCTTGGTGGCCGCTACGATGGAAATTGAATTTTATGCTATTGCACGAGCGATTTTAATCGACGGAATCAGCTAGATCAGGAGATGAGTGTGAAACCGCCGAGGGCTGATCCCACAATTTGACGGCTGCTAATTTTGTAAAGTGTTAGATACTGGGAAAAAGAAGTATATGTGATGAAGAAGTATAAGAATTATATGTGATAAAAAGTAACACGAAGATAGCTCAAGGTTCGTGGTCGTGAAATTGATTACAAAGAAGTAATATCTCGCCAGGGAGAGTTAATGCAGTTTAATTGCTCTTTACAAGGCTGCATCAAAGGGTTTATCAGACTGGTCGAACAAAGCAACGATACAAAGCAACTAATATAAAGCATTTCGTATATACACTCGTTATACATATAATAAAGGATGATCTTGTTCTCAGAACTGGGTTCATCTCTATGAATTTTCAAACGATATTATTTCGTTCACGACAAATGCTAATTTTGATGACGATCACTTTTAAGAAACGAGGAAAATGGAAAAGTCAGAAACGTACGAAATTTATAATTTTGTCCAACACTGTGCTGTACTTACTTCATACTATGAAACTCACAATATGTATATCTTCCATTTTCATAGGACGATGATACCTCGACCGATATCTTGTAGGCAAACGATATCCAATGCAACAAGGTCAGCGGTGTGTGCAAGTTCCAACTCGTGTATAATTTATTGACAATACGCGCAAACTTTTAAATTTGTTAAAACGTGGTCTAAAGCCGGCATGGTCAGATAATCGCGAGGTACATAACATTTGCATTTTACATGCGCGTTGCAGTTTACTCTTCAAATGAAATTTTACATTGATATCGAACGATAATAAAAACTCCATTTTCCCTTATCGATTGGCCAAAGAAACGGAGCAAAACTTTCACAATCTCGACGTTTACCTGCGACTTTCAGCCAACGTATCGGGCATACATCAGCATTACGGACATATAGCTTGCCTTATCCTGTATGTACCTTTGCCGTTGTTCGCGCGAATGGATTCGCGAGATAAATCTTTTAGAATTTGTATCGAAGTAACCTTTTCGCAGTATGAAACAAACTAGTAACAATTGTTCAATACGCGATATGAAGTCGTACAGGGTATTTAAGGAAGGAACATTATTGCAATTTGGAGCTTCCGGGCGTAAAGCGTCATATGCTTTTTAACGTCAGAGCTACCAACAATTAAAATATTGAACTTGTAGCAAAGAAATCAAAGTGATAGGTATTACAAACAATCACCTAAATCTCAAAAAATGCAACTATTTTTATGAAAAATATGAATTGGTTATTTTTCCCACTTTGATAATCTTAATAATCTTTGTTGATTAATTCTTCGGTTGACCAGTTAAAAATTAATGTTCAAATTCAAGTCTTGCAACTAATTAATTAAAAATAAGATAGATATTTAGACGTTATTTCGACATCGTACGTATTCGACTAAGTCGCTTAAATCGAAAGATTATTCAAACAACCCATAAACAAATTTGCAACTGGCTAACAAACGCTATTCTAAAGTAAGCCAAACGCTATTTTTCTGTACACTTTCCATAACTTTAAATATCAGTTTGATCGCAGTAAAATGCATCGCGCAAACGAGCATTATTGCGCAATACGTCCACCTAGATCCAATCGTGAACTGCTCTGGACAGTTTGCTTCGCTGTTGTTGATCCTAATCAAGTCGACTGTGAACGAAGCTGAGAATTTAGATTAAGAACGTACAACGTGGTCTTCGTCAAATCGGCGATAGTTACCTTTATCATGGGTCAACAGATCATCTTATCCGATGTAATAGGAAATAGAAATTCTCTATTGCGGATAAATTATTTTAACAAATTTCTGTATATTATTAATTATTTTAACAAATTTCTGTATAAAAGAAGAAAAGATAGAATAAAATTACAAATTACTTAATCCATTTGCAAAGGATGATAAAACAAAATGATACATGCATCGTTAAATAAGTATCACACGAACGACGAGTCAGACATGATGTGAACGGAGCTTTAAAGCTTTAAACTCGTAGTTGAAAAGATTAAGAACGCCTTCGGCGATGACCAAAGTTGATGAGTAGAGGCAGTAACGACGTTTGAACCAGTTGACGACGTCTTGTTCGCTCCGCTGCTTCGTCAGTCAGGCAGCGGACTCTATTACTGTTACTCGTAAAAAGATAGGTGCATCGATCTAGCAACTATGAGGACAACCCCCGATATAATTACTCCGCGACGACCTCGGCACTTTCTCGTCGCGCTCGTTTTGATGGCATCGTTAAAATCGGCTCCATTTAATAAGACCGATCGGCGGTCATTCGATTCTCTATTTTGCTAAACGTTGACCCGATGAAACACGTCTCTAGATAAATATCCTACATCTCGTTCGATATTTTCAACACAATTGAAGAAATTGCGGTTACGAGGAATCAGCTAAACTCTTGTAGTCTTTTTTACAATCTGCTCTTTTAGTTTGAATTTTTTTTATATTCAGAGAAGTAATAAACTTTTGAGTTATTGGACGAAGTGGAAATGAAAGCTACATTTTTAATTATAATTATAAGGTTACGCTAAGATTATAATCGATGATGA